ACTTTTTCTTTTATACTTTTTGTCACATGTGTTCTTTTTTACACTTTAAAGAATAACATATATATATTTTTTAACAGTACAATTTAAAAAATTTTGGATAATTTAATTAACTAATGAACTAATCAATTAAAAGAAAAGCTAATGTATTAATTGTCAGGCGTGTATTAAACCGCATCAAAATTATATTAACCGCTGACTATTGATGATTGCAGCTTGTAGATTCTATTTCAAGAATAGTGTGAGATACATATTGATTTCAATTATTCGATTTTACCTCACGTACTTATGTTTTTCATAAAGAAATCGATTCATAGATATGCGCGCTGTATATAAACAAGTTTCACTGTTTTCCTTCATTACTCATATCTCATTTATTAGTACATTTCTCATAACAAGTCGCATGCTTGAATATTTTATCAATCCTAACACCTAACTCGCTCTCATGCAACCGCTTATCTCGTCTCATCGAAAAATGCAAATATACCATATACTGATCTAAAGATTATAAAATGTTGTTTAGACAAATCTGATATAGCAATCGTAATGCGAAATACAATGACACGAAAGATGCGCGTTTTATCAGATTAATTATTTATCTATCATATCCAAATTTACAAATAAATTTTTTCTTTTTTTACACAAATATTTCTAATATATCTACTTTATAAAATAGCAAAATAATAAGAATAACAATCATCAAATCTCTAATCGAATAAGTAAAATATGTAAAACAGCTAATAAATTGTATAAATTGTGCAAATAAATATTTCCCATTATTAATTAGTTATTACTTTATTTATTCGATTTACAAACTAAATCTTCTGATTTTATTTTTGATTGCTTAACAAAAATAGTAAGGAAAAAATCTTCGAGTAAAAATAGATTTAAAAGAAAGGATTAAAAAATAGGATTGCAAAAAATAAGAAAAAAGCTTAAAAATTATTTAGAGAGACATAAATTTTAATATTGAAAATCGCGCATATATTTTTATGTGTTTTCTTTGAATTTGAAGTCTTTATGTACGGCGATCAATCTATATTAAAATGTCAAAACGATCGATCCCATGATCCAAGGATCAGATATTCAAAGAAGCTTAAGACAACCGTTCGTAGTTACATAAAAAGAAAAATAAAGCAATCAATACGACTGGTGTCGTATACGCGCATTGTATTCCCAATAAAGCTCCGCGTTTGAGTTGTAAGTGGTATAGTCGACTATCTGATCGGACATGCGTCGCGCACTCTGCGTAGTCGCTCTTAATTCAAGTCGGTCTTTGCTCGCTAGTGCACGTTCGACACACTCGTGCGGCGGGTTTATTCATCATCATCGGCGAAATTAATCTATTTCTTAGCCATTATCTGTATTTGCGGATGGAAATCACGGTTACAAAAGTCAGCTACGAAAAACAGGATTTCATGTGGGTACAAACTTTGCAAAATTCGAAAATATTAATTTCGCAGAATTTTGATTGTAGATTCCGAAATAATTAAAAAAGAGAATTGAGATTCTTAAATATCACTTACATACTTATATGTAAAAACTTTTTCCGTGTATTTCTAATTAATTATGATTATCAAAAATTCTTTAATCAATCTGAATCAAAATTGAAAAAATTGAGAGTCGTGAAACATTTTGCATGTACTAAGTATTGCAGATTTAAATAATTGAGGTGCTTATTTAAAACAAATTTAGTACATAAGCATATTTACTTTTTCATACTACAGTTTTTCGTAACTACGCTTTGCAATGCATGCATTTCGTATTTTCTTAATATTATCTTCTTGATCTCAAGAGAGTATGCAATAATAGTTTTAAATGCAAATAATATATAATTTAGAAATCTATTTTCCTCTTAAGACGCATTTAGAGTATTTAGAGAAATACTATATGTACATATTTAATGTAAAATTATATTTATTATAGCTATTTATAGCTATGTGACAAATAGATAGCTTTTATATAATAAGTTAATTTTTAATTGAAACATCTAAACATTTTAGCACGTTTACGTATTAATAAATCTAGACCCATAAACATATGTCAATACATTAATGTGTTATGAAAGAATTTCATTGTGAAATCGATAATTATTTATGCCGATGTCGAACTGAGATTAACTATAAATGATCGATAGCAATCAACTGTTGAAGTCGGTTGATATATAATGAAAAACATGAGTTATGTAAAATATGTTTGAATAATATCTGATATCCAGAACACGATACATGTGCACATAACAATATACATATGTATATGTGAATCATTGGCTGACATAAAAACAAAAACATGAAATGTTAAAATATATCAATATATAATAATTCTTCTATATTTCTTATTTTTTACATTGATTTTTTTAATCCAATAAAATTATTTAAAAAAAGGATTATAATGACACATTGCATATATATTAAACATTTTTCAGAAAAGTAATAACTTTTTTATTTAAAAATATCTGTATGTTATCCAATCCAAAAAATGACAACCCGGAAAAAAAAGTCCATATATGTATAATCAAATATAAATATAATTATATGTAAAATATTTCCATATATAAATTTAATATGTAATTATTTGTATTTAATTTTGTATAGACTTTTTTTCTTGGGAATATTGATGAATAAAATACTAATAATAATATAAATAAATTTTTCGCTTTAGAAATATTTTTTTATGTTTTTAAAACTGCACGTAAACAGAGATACGCCGATACTCACTATGAGTTACCATTACTTTTCCTACACTTTTCAGTTTTTACGAGTATAGATACGCACGTGCCATTTCATAAGTCTTAGTGTTAGTCTTATAATGGAATTTTATGGGCAACATAAGACATACTTGGAAAATGCATCGGGATAGCCACTTCATAGCGTTTGATCAAAGTTATTCGAGAAAATGAACGTGAAGTGAGACGTTGCACCTGACGAGTGAATCGACTATCTGCATCAACATATTGAGTTTATACCCACGCTAGACGAACGACCAACCCTTTCCTGTGATGAAATGCGACACCTCTTTTATCTGTTGAAACATGGCGATAATTAATTGATTAAGTCACGTATGTATTATTTTTACTGTGTGTGTAAAAACACGGTATAGCTGTTTCATGTCAGAATATAAAAGAAAATCGAAATACTCTGAAATTTCTTAGATCTTTAAGACTATTTATTTTAATTTTCATAGTATGTTATGCTACAGTATTCTAAAATAAGTGCAATTTTATATTATTGGACTATCCATGCATATTGAGTTTTATTATGCGTATTATCGTATTAATTTTCATTTGGTAGCATTCAAAAAAGTATACGAAACTGAAATGAATAATGTGTGCGTGTGTGTGATGAGCAATTACTTAAACTAATCTAATTAAACTAATTAAAATATCACTTAAAATACATATTGCATATCACCATATTGCATGCATACGAAACAGTTACATGCTTTAGTTGGTCCTTTTTGCATTTTGTAACGAGTATGATGCACATTATATATCGTGGATATTTAATTAACAATTCTCTAAGCGCTCAATTTAATCAATTCTGAGCAGAATGCAAATTAACATTTAACAATCATGGTTAATAAACTCTCATAAAAACTTGATAAAAAATTGACATTTTTTTCAATAAAGACTTTTTACATAAAAGGTGATTTTTAATATATTTTTTTAAATATATTTACTTCCACGAAATAATCGATTCAACTATTCATCAGAAGTTTCGCAACGGAGAACTATCTATCAGGAGTTTCCCTAAACGTGGAGAATTCCTTAAACGAGGAAGACATGATGTTGAAAACAAAACGGTTACTCACTGCGAGTTCTAACAGAAGCAGCGCAACTTGCCAGAAATTGTTACCATTTCTAATGCGTCAAAGAAAAGACAAGACGAAGAGGATGGAGACCGAATTTTCGGAATCGTGTCCTCCTGGTCCGCCGAGGGTGCGACCTTTTCTTCACAACAATTTATTGAACGAAAATTCTCGAATCTCTGTATCCGTAAACAGTAATGTGAGTATCACAAAAAGACTCGATACTTGTCTTATATTGTGAGATATACTATACTCGTGTTTTAAAGAAAAAAAAAGCGTATATCTATAAAAAAAGGTAAAAACAGAATAATAAAATAAAACTCTAAGAAATAAAAAAAAACTCTAAAAAAAATTAACGTTATTAACATTATTAACGATATGTTTAAAAAAATATTTGAAAGATTGGGACATTTCTTAGATGTGTGTGTATGTATGTGTATGTGTATGTGTATATGGCAGCTAATATATTCTATATATATATTATATTATACATATATAAAAAAAACGATGTTGAGAGAAAATTTTTTTTGCAGGATCCAGAGAGCTTCCAATGTGCAATAGGGCCCATTTTAGGATTTGCCCAATTATTCGGAGTCTTGCCGGTCTCAGGAGTACGCGCGCCGACCCCGTTGAAGCTAAAGTTTGCGATATTTTCATTACGTACTGTCTACGCTGTTTCCATAACTGTGATGGTACTCGTTATGGCAATATTGGCGATTATGCACATGATAAGGACGCTAAACTCTACAATTTTCGGAATGCAAGGTAAACAGAGATAAGTCCTTTATATGTTTTATGTCGCATCTATCCTATCCAGAAAGCGACATACATTAATTATATGTTAAAACAAATAGAAGTACATAGGTAGTTTCTGTAAACATTAATTAAAGTTAATTGAAATTTAACAGATCTTCCGATTGTTCCTAGAAATAAGAAAATAAACTATAGATAAGAAAATATAAATTAGAAAAAAATAAGAAATAGATTGACTTTATCTTTTATTTTAACGGGAATGAAAGAGATCATTTTCTTAAAGTTAAAATCTCATAATTATATGAAAATAAATGAAAAAAAGATTGCTTATTTTTATCGTCATATTAATTATATGTTATCTCCGATAGATGCATCCTTTTTCAGCAAACTCTAAATTCTTAAACCGTAATCGGATTTTAGGAGGAATAGCAGCTGCAACGGCAGGCGCGGTATTTTACGGGGACAGCGTAATAGCCTTAATCGTTTTTCTCTGGCTGTCACCGCGTTGGGTAACTCTTCAACGTGATTGGAGAGCTATGGAGCAATTTATAGACAGGTAGATATTAACGAAGATTTTTCGAGAAGATCGTTGCACAGTTAACAGATCGATAAGAGCACCTGTACATTACGCTTGCATGTAGAAATGCATAAGCTCAACAATCAACGAAAGATTGCGATCGCAGGTTTGCACATTCATACGCGATGACAAGCAAATGTTACAAAAACAATCGCAATAAAGTGTCGTAGTTTGAATTTTTTTAATGTTTTCGTGATAAATTCTGAAACAAGTCGGAAATAATTTTGAAGCAAATCATAATATACTATTATAGTTGTTTCGCGTCGTGAGTGTATTCCAATTTTTATTACTATAAATATGATATGTAACAATATTGAAATATATGACTCATAACCATCTATAGCATCAAAGTCTGATATCATCAAAATATCATCGCTTGTAATCTTTGCTTCAGCGTAAAATTGCGTTTAAAAATTGCCTTCCACTTCAAAACTACTCCTCTATCTTTAGAAGATTCTCAATAAGAATCGATTGCTTCTTATCGAGAATATTGCTTTTAAATTGATTAATTTTGCATTGTTTTATAAAATTTAATAAGTGAGTATAATGAATAATGAGTATAATGTACTTGCAAAATCGGTTTTACAGTAATAAATTGGAACGACCGAAACTTCGTTGGAGATTCTATTTGATAACTGCTTCTATTCTACTCTTGGCCCTTTTTGAACATATCTTGAGTATAGCAATAAACACGAAGGATTATGATTGGAGTGGCAATACGAAAAATACGACATTTCAGCATTTTCTGCAAATATATTGCATGTCTTCTCACGCGTTCATCCTGGAAACATGTAAGCGCGTTGTGTTATATGAATTATATGTATAATTTCTTAATTATCATTAATTTAAAAGTATTATCCACAAAAAATTACGTAATGATTCCAATCGCGGAAATAAGAAATATATTCATTAGGTAATAAAAATCAATTTAAGATATTTAATTCGTGCATAGAAAGTTAAATCACGAAATCTACTTTCCTTTAATAATAATTCTGTTTATGAATAAATGATTACTTCTGTCAAATAATTACAATTTATACTTTTCTTGCAAAAATTTATTCTAAAATTGTTGTTTAAGTTTCTTCTCTTCTAGATCTGAAAAATTTTGGATCTTTTAAAAATATAAAATTTTTTTATTTTCAGTGAGTTATAACTTTGCGCTTGGAATTTATATTTTTATCATCAGTAAACTGGCAACTTTCACATGGAACTTTATGGACGTTTTCATTATGTTGGTAATAGAATCTTGATTATATCTTGCATTATATGTTATATAATACATATATATATTTTTTTTCAATATCTTATTATAATAAAGTTATAGTAATTATTAAAGATTTACACCAAATTCATTTGCAGGTAGCTGGTGCGATTGTAACATACGAAGTCGTGCTGCTACAATTCAATGTCTCGATGAATACATGAATACGTAACCATGTAACATCTCATTGAAACAAAATGTTATGACTTACATGACTTACAATATAAGATAATATAAGATAATATATATATAACTATTTGTATTCATTGAAAATATATAAAATTGACTAAACATGTTAACTAAAATATATTTTAGTATTACATGAAGCCTTGTTATAAAAAATTTTTTATAATCTACATGTAATTTATTATAGCATTTCTCTGAAATTATATCTATTTTTCAGAAATATATTTTGTAAGAGAATATGAATGCAAGAAATGTGTGTAAATTGTCATTTATCATACATAATAACAGTAAGATTATTAATAATAATAACTTATTATATCGTAAGAAATTTGTTGCTTTAGTTACATATTATTTTAATAGGTTTTGCGCAATACATTTTGTAATATAAATAGCAAACTCTAAATTCTTAAACCGTAATCGGATTTTAGGAGGAATAGCAGCTGCAACGGCAGGCGCGGTATTTTACGGGGACAGCGTAATAGCCTTAATCGTTTTTCTCTGGCTGTCACCGCGTTGGGTAACTCTTCAACGTGATTGGAGAGCTATGGAGCAATTTATAGACAGGTAGATATTAACGAAGATTTTTCGAGAAGATCGTTGCACAGTTAACAGATCGATAAGAGCACCTGTACATTACGCTTGCATGTAGAAATGCATAAGCTCAACAATCAACGAAAGATTGCGATCGCAGGTTTGCACATTCATACGCGATGACAAGCAAATGTTACAAAAACAATCGCAATAAAGTGTCGTAGTTTGAATTTTTTTAATGTTTTCGTGATAAATTCTGAAACAAGTCGGAAATAATTTTGAAGCAAATCATAATATACTATTATAGTTGTTTCGCGTCGTGAGTGTATTCCAATTTTTATTACTATAAATATGATATGTAACAATATTGAAATATATGACTCATAACCATCTATAGCATCAAAGTCTGATATCATCAAAATATCATCGCTTGTAATCTTTGCTTCAGCGTAAAATTGCGTTTAAAAATTGCCTTCCACTTCAAAACTACTCCTCTATCTTTAGAAGATTCTCAATAAGAATCGATTGCTTCTTATCGAGAATATTGCTTTTAAATTGATTAATTTTGCATTGTTTTATAAAATTTAATAAGTGAGTATAATGAATAATGAGTATAATGTACTTGCAAAATCGGTTTTACAGTAATAAATTGGAACGACCGAAACTTCGTTGGAGATTCTATTTGATAACTGCTTCTATTCTACTCTTGGCCCTTTTTGAACATATCTTGAGTATAGCAATAAACACGAAGGATTATGATTGGAGTGGCAATACGAAAAATACGACATTTCAGAATTTTCTGCAAATATATTGCATGTCTTCTCACGCGTTCATCCTGGAAACATGTAAGCGCGTTGTGTTATATGAATTATATGTATAATTTCTTAATTATCGTTAATTTAAAAGTATTACCACAAAAAATTACGTAATGATTCCAATCGCGGAAATAAGAAATATATTCATTAGGTAATAAAAATCAATTTAAGATATTTAATTCGTGCATAGAAAGTTAAATCACGAAATCTACTTTCCTTTAATAATAATTCTGTTTATGAATAAATGATTACTTCTGTCAAATAATTACAATTTATACTTTTCTTGCAAAAATTTATTCTAAAATTGTTGTTTAAGTTTCTTCTCTTCTAGATCTGAAAAATTTTGGATCTTTTAAAAATATAAAATTTTTTTATTTTCAGTGAGTTATAACTTTGCGCTTGGAATTTATATTTTTATCATCAGTAAACTGGCAACTTTCACATGGAACTTTATGGACGTTTTCATTATGTTGGTAATAGAATCTTGATTAAAAACAGTTTTTAATTTAATCAATTTTATTTTCAATATTATTTTTTTAATTCAATCTTTTGAATCTTTAGGTGGCTACCGGCTTAGCCGAAAGATACAAAATATTGAACAAGCAAGTAATAACTTCGAAGCATAGAACAATGGATTGGGGTGGAATTCGCGAAGATTATGCTGCTCTTAGTTGCATGGTGAAGAAGGTCGACAACGATATCGCACCCATAATCCTCCTGTCATTTGCGAACAATCTTTATTTTATCTGTTTGCAACTACTCAATGGATTGTCGTAAGTATATTATACGATAAAAAAGAGCAAAATCGATTATTATTAATTAACAGCCAGATGAAGTACAATTGTGGATACTATTAATAAATGAATTTTTACTTATGCAAAAATTATATTCAGATCATCTTATTTAGTAATAAATAAATCAAAGATGTAAAACTGATATAAAATGTATAAAACTGATATAATGTGTTAATATAAAATGCAAATATCAATTTCTGTTTTATTTTACTTGATCCGTATAGTCAGCCAGCCGGCAGCACCATCGTCGACGATATTTATTTCTTTGGATCTTTCATATTCTTAATCGGTAGGACGGTAATCGTCACTCTGCTCACTGCTAGGATCAACGATCAAAGCAAAATGGCATTACCAACTTTGTATACTTGTTCAGCTTCTACCTATAATACAGAGGTAAATAACTCACAAAAAAATGATACAAAGAAAGAAGGCTCGCCACAAATTCCTCTTCAAAATTGTCTAATTTTTACAATTGGCAATTTATTTAGTTAATTCGTTGCTTAAAATTCTTCATTTATGAAGATTCGTTTTACAGACAGAAAGGCTGATATATCAACTCACTACTGACGACATCTCGTTTACGGGAATGCGCTTCTTTTCTATTACGCGGAATTTCATGTTAGCGGTAAGAACAAATCATTTTTCTACAATATTTTGTATACAATATACGTAATAACTTGAATAAAAAAATTAACTTTACAACTACATAACTTTGTGATTCGCGTGTAAAAAGATTTATACGAAGAAGGTATATTCGTAAGCATCCTCTATGTATTTATATACTCAATTTAGCAAATTAATCTTCAGAAGCGAGAAAAAAATCATCGAAATTTTGTTATCATATATCTTGCATTATATGTTATATAATACATATATATTTTTTTTCAATATCTTATTATGATAAAGTTATAGTAATTATTAAAGATTTACACCAAATTTATTTGCAGGTAGCTGGTGCGATTGTAACATACGAAGTCGTGCTGCTACAATTCAATGTCTCGATGAATACATGAATACGTAACCATGTAACATCTCATTGAAACAAAATGTTATGACTTACATGACTTACAATATAAGATAATATAAGATAATATATATATAACTATTTGTATTCATTGAAAATATATAAAATTGACTAAACATGTTAACTAAAATATATTTTAGTATTACATGAAGCCTTGTTATAAAAAATTTTTTATAATCTACATGTAATTTATTATAGCATTTCTCTGAAATTATATCTATTTTTCAGAAATATATTTTGTAAGAGAATATGAATGCAAGAAATGTGTGTAAATTGTCATTTATCATACATAATAACAGTAAGATTATTAATAATAATAACTTATTATATCGTAAGAAATTTGTTGCTTTAGTTACATATTATTTTAATAGGTTTTGCGCAATACATTTTGTAATATAAATAATTTAAAATTCTCATAAATTATAATATAAATAATTTAAAATTCTCATAAATTATTATTTAAATATAAATGTAAAAGTCAAAATAAAATATATCTCTCTCTTTTATATTAGCTTTTACTTTAATATTTAGATAAGTTAATAATTAAATATGCTTAAAATTTTTTGATGTATATTATATAAAATCTCCTTATTCGATCAATTATTTCTATATAAATATAATTATGTAGAAATAATTTTTTTATTAGAATTTTTATTATCTCTCTCTTTCTTTTTTATTAGAATTATTTAAACAATATTTGTTGTATAAGTATTATATTTAAACATCGTTTTTATGTGTGTGTGTGTGTGTGTGTGTGTGTGTGTGTGTGTGTGGTTAATTGTTCATATGTAATGTTTAAGAAATTATTGCAATAAATATCAATCAAACAGTGAAAATAATAATATAGGCTATTGCTATGTTAGATTTTACAGTCGTATTAAAACATACTACAAAATACATATACATACATATATACATGTATACTTTCCATCCATTTTTGCAGATGACGGTGTGTTCTCCGCATTTAAATGTAAAAATATGTAACAACATTACGTATCGTTTTGTAACAACATAATTAAATGCTGATGAAACATCCAGTTCGCTTTTCTCCAGAATGTAACTCGGGTTATATTTGTTGAAACTACAACAAAAAGTAAATTAGAAAATAAAAACATACAAAAATAATACCAAGTAAGAAATATATATTGCGCAATTTTATGCAGGAAATAACATATTTTCATAGAGAAAAATTTATTTACCATAATCCGCATACTTATCTTTAAAAAATGTAAAATTTTAGAAAAATTGTCAGAAGTAGGATAAAAATAGAAGATTAAAATATAATAGAGATTGTTTATTGTGCGCATAAATAAATCCCATAAGATATATCATATAAAAATTATAAAGTAGTGATAACCTCTGTTATGCAAAGAAAAAAAATATTAAGATATATAAAAAATATTTGAGAAAATTAGTTTAAAAGAATAAAAGACAGGAAGAGGCAAAAAGTTACCGGATTAAATTGCAACAATGTAATGCAGTTTAGGATTTATTCAAGATAGCATTATAATAGAATTATACGGTTTATAGTTAATATAATAATAGATTTGTCAATAAAACAGATTAGCAAATTTCAAAGTAAATATTTGAAGTCATGTTATAGCAGTTTCCAAATAATAAAAACTGTCTACATATATACATATATATACAAAATATAAGATTTAACAAAAGTTAGATTTAATAGCTCATAAAATACACAAATTTCATTAAATAGCTATTAATGTGAGAGTGCCAGAAAAAGTAAATAAATATATAAATAAGTGAAATATGTGATATAAAAATGTGTAAATAAGTAAATAAATGTAAAGTCTACACACAAGTTGTGAAATATAAAAAGAGCGAGCTGTAAAGAGTTGTATTTACAAGACTTCATAAAATATGCCTATTGCATGACATTCTTCACAAGACTTGCGTGACTTGCAGATGTAGAAGCAGATATAGATGGTCGAAATCCTTATAAATCTTTTCGAAAGCTCTCTACCTCACCTCGCAACTGTTCGTAATATTCGATTGATCCACTTGCTGAACGGAGTTAAACTGTACCAGAACCAGTTCGTAAGTCACGATAGTTCCAGCGACCTAAATCATCATCATGTGTATAAATCGGACACAAAGATATGTTAAAGATATGTCCAATCATAATTTAAAATTAATCTAAATTGTCTCAATAATAGTTAAAAAAGAGTTTCTTTATTTTTTAAATCAAATATAAAATTTTTATTTCAAATAAAAGTGTTTTTATAAATTGTTTTTTTTTTTTTTTTTTTTTAGAAAAAAAAAAAAATAAAAATATAAAGGTACTTCA